CCCTGGGTAGAGTGCTGTGGCATCACAGCTCACAGCAACCTCCAACTCCTGAGCTCAAGCAGGTCTCCTGCCTCAGCCTCCCACGTAGCTGGGACCACAGGTGCCTGCCACAATGCTCAGCTATTTTTTGGTTGCAGCCGTCATTGTTTGTCAGCCTGGGCTGGATTGGAACCCACTACCTTAGGTGTATGTGGCTGGCACCTTAGCCACTTGAGCCACAGGTGCTGAGCCTCTATAAGATGTTGTTATAGATTGAGAATCCCCCATCTGGAAATCCTTAATGCTACAGAATTTGAAACTTTTTCAATAACAATGTGACATTTGTTTTTTGAAGCATTTTGGATTTTGGATTTTCAGATTTGAAAGGAACAATATTTGTATTAAGTATCATCATAAATATTCCAAAATCAAAAAATATATACATGAAACACTTCTGGTCTTAGCATTTTGGATAAGGGCTACTTAACCTATATTCCCTTTTTACAGATAAAGCAACTGAAGAACAGAAAGTTAAGTGATTTGAACACAGTCATGCAGCAAGTTGTAAGTAGCAAAACCAGGACATGAACCTAGGCAAAGAAGCTTCAGAATCTTGGAGTTTTTAACTATTATGCTGTTTTGCCTTGCACATGACACATGGCATGCCAACAAGTCATTGCTTCAAAAATGTCACAGCAAGCCAGATGTAATGGCTCACAATATGGAAGGATTGCTTGAGACTAGGAGTTCAAGACCAGCCTGGGCAAGTGTGAGACCATGTCCCTACCAAAAACTAGAAAAATTAGCTAGGTGTGGTGGTTTGTGCCTATAGTCCCAGGTACTTGGCGGCAGAGGCAAGTACCTGGGACTGCTATAAGCTATGAGGACAACATGGCACTTTACCCAGAGCAGCAAAGTGAGACTATCTCAAAAAAAAATAATAAAAGTAAAAAAAATTAATAATATTAAGAAATAATAATTGTAATTAAAAAGTTAGAGCAGATAAGCTAAAATTTTCTCTAAGCCTCAGTTTTATTTTATCCTATAGAAAGTGAGGATGTGGCTCATGACTGTAATCTTAGCACTTTGGGAGGCCAAGGTGGGTGGATTGCTTGAGCTCAGGAATTTGAGACCAGCCTGAGCAAAAGCAAGACCCGGTTTCTATTAATAGAAAAATTGAGGCAAGAGGATTGCTTGAGCCCAAGAGTTGGAGGTTCCTGTGAGCTATGA